TTTCTTTTTATTTTACTTCTTTCTTATATATATTTTTATGCTTCCACTAATGATTTAATTTTTTATTTAAATAGGTTCCTTAATTTGGTGAAGAATGCAGGAAAATTGAGGTAATTTACTTATCTACATATGTTTCATTTTTTTTTCACTCTTTACTTTATATGATTCTAGTGTAATTCTTTTATGTATTTTGTATTATATTCTTTTATGATTACAAATGTGGAAGTTTTTTTTTTTTACTAAATTGAATATATGTAATTTTCAAATTATTTTACTACTAGAAATCATACAAATTTTGAATTATTGTTAAAAAAACTAAACAAATAATAACAATTGTACATACTAATTTTAACAATTGTAAAAATTTTGAATTATTTTACTACTAAATGTTTTTATAATATTCATTAAGTAACCCAAATAACCATTAATTTATTAAATAATTTGATTTTTTTTTCAAATCTGGATCACTATTTTGGTCAAGAACCTTGACCGAAATATGTTGCGAAAATTTTAACAACATATTTCGGTCAACCTTCTTGCCCCAAATATTGTGCAGTCTTCCGCCAACATTTTCCAATTTCTCGAAAATTTTCCCAATATATTTCGGTCAGCGGAAATGATCGAAATAGAGTTAATTGTATCGCCAATTTTTTCCAATTTCCCCCCAAAATTTCGCAACATATTTTGGTCAAGTATTTTGACCGAAATAAAGTTAATTTCCCGCCAAGATTTCTGAAATCCATCTAGAATTTTCCAATATATTTCAGTTAAGCAACTTGACCAAATAGAGATGATTTTTTAGCTCAACCACCAGATATCCCTTACATATTATTCGGTCAGTCGTATTGACCGACCTATTAAATTAAAATATTATTAATTATTTTGGTCATATTTTTTGTCTGAATGTAATCATTTTTTATTGATTTTTTGAGGCACAATTTCAATCATTTTTTTTGACCGAATTATTCATATATTTCGGTCAAGATGAAAATTTCTCCAAAATAGTATTTCGGGGGAGACCATATTCAATCCAACAAGTCGGTTAGTTTGCTTGACCGAATTGTTTTCTATTCGGTCATAATATGGACTATTTCAGTCATTGTCCTTGACCGAAATACTCCCAAAATCTAGTAGTGATAATTTAAAATCGACCTACATTAGACCACTATAAAAAAAAATAAAACCCTTTTAATATCTATTTCTCAATTTAGAAGAAGTATAAAGACATTCTTAGTTGTTAGCACTATACCTTATTTGAACTACGTACGTCTACCTGCTACTCCATTGGATATGGCAATTTCAGGGTGCAAGTCTTGACTTATAGTATTATTAATGACTGCATGTAGGGGTAACTGGATTTAATATCTTTACAATTAAATTAATTTAATTAGTTAGCTATAAAATGTTTAAATTAACTCAATTCATATACAAAAAAAATACTTAAATTCACTCCCAAAGTATAGTGGTAGGGACGGATCCACCCTAAACAAAAAACGAGGACAAATTCACTCATAAAGTTTTCGACTTGGATAAGTCACCTCAAATTTAAAGTGTGATATCATCTTATGTCAACAATCCATTGATTTTTTATGTCGTTAATAATAGATTGCTGACATCAGATGACATCAAATTAACGAATTGCTGACTTCAGATAATATCACACGTTAAATTTGGGGTGATTTGCTTAAGTTAAAAAAGTTGTAAGTAGATTTGTTCCTATTTTTTGTTTGGGGATGGATCCGTCCCTATCACTATACTTTTGAAGTAGATTTGGTTATATACTATTATATTATAATCAAATCAACATAAGTGAGATTGGATTGTCGTGGTTTGATTGGATTGATGAAATTTTAATATTATTTTAAATATATTTAATTAGATAAAAGAATTAGAATATCAAATTATAAAAATACAATTATAAAGTATAATATTATTAAAGTAAAGAGTATATAAAAAATAATATCTATATGTATATACGAAATATATAAATTCTAAAATGAAAATAAAATGAAAAGGCTAATTTGTTTTTAACAATGATAAAGGTGTAACTAAGTCATGAAAACTCAATCAACAATTTGTTGGTCTCAATGGAAAGAGTTTCGTTCCCTTTAAGTAAAATCTCGAATTTAAGTCTTATGAATATAAAAACAAACATTAGGAGAATTTTCTCTCATATGGGATCTGACCCAACTCAATTCCGAATTAATTAAAACCTAATGTGGTTTTTAAATACCGAAGGTTAAGATTAAAAAAAAGTGATGAAAACTCAACAAGAGAATAAGGGAGTGTTTGTTTTGAAGTTTCATTAATAATTATTATTTATTAATTTTAATTGAATAAATTAAATATTTTTAATTATAAATATTAATAATTATTCATTATCAAATATCATTCATTCACTATTAATTACATTTTAACAGTTATCCTACCGATTAATTAGTCTTTAGGTTAAATGCTAAATTTGGTCCCTCAACTTTAAGGAAGGCACATTTTTATCCCTCAATAATTTTTTTCACTTTTTTTATCCCTCAACTCTAAGAAATGCACACCGTTAGTCCTTCTGTCAGTTTAGACCGTTAACTACGATATGTGGCATTTTTTATAATTTTTTTGATGATATGGCAAAAACAATTTAAAAAAGCGTTGATGTGGAATTATTTTTTAAGATACATTATCGCCAACTCATCACCAACTCATAAACCGATTTTGCCTTAATAAAAAATAGAAAATTACAAATTTACCCATCTCCCTTTCTTGATCCATCTTCTTCCCCTCTTTCGATCATCTTCCTCCTTTCTTTCTTTTTTCTTTTTCTTCTTCCTCTGTGTCTGCTGGGTTCCACCGAACCCAGCTCGGGTTCGATGAACCCAATTTGCTGGGTTCGAGCTGGGTTCGGTGGAGCCCAGCTCCACTTTTTTGTTATATGTTTATTTATGAAGAGATTATCCAAGTTGCAGGTTATGAGGGATTTTTGGATCATTTTTTTCATATTTTTTAAGTATAGTCTAAATGATTTCAATGTTCAAAATGGAAAGAACAGAAGCAGTTGGGCAAAGAAGCAATTCTTAGTGGTTTCCATTTGTTTGGCTGGAAAATGGTATATTTTGGGTGTTTGGATGATGAGAAAATGCTTTGAATTTGTTTGATTGCCGAGATTGGTTACCGAGAAACTATAATGTC